CTATATAAATAAAAATTGAATTGAATTGAATTAAACTGCACGCACAACAACATCCCCAGCTATTTGGTGCTGATGGCTGCTGATCTTTTGATTACACTTCAAAACATCTGCACACTGATATGAGCACTAATGAGCATAGCCAACTAATTCTTTTATACATAATAGCAGATTTTCACTCATGATTATAAAGGGCTGAAAGAAGGATGTCAAGGATGTTACTGGGATAAAAAATATTGCCTATATTTAGTAAGTTAGAATCAAAGTAGAAGTGCAAACAGGTGAAGAGAGATGCTATAACCATAACCATACCAAACTGTGCTAAAAGAACAGTTCTGCGTAATGGACAGTGAAATTAACTGCATTAACTTATACATGGAATAGCCACAAGGACTCACATCTGCCATCAATAAACAAACCAAAAAGGAAACAGGAGGCAAATAATACTGTAGGCTGATGTCAAACCAGTCTGTTATTACAATATAAATTCAACCGACCATGTTGTTAATCTGGTACTCCCATTTTTGCTTTTTTTGCTGTTGTTTTTTTGTTTTATTGCAGGTGGTGAAAATCAACACCATGCTGCAATAAAGATAACCTGTAACTACAAATAACACTCACTGGACACTTCATAAGGTCCACCTTTCCATTGTGGTATAGATTCAACAAAGTGCAAAGTGCAACATTCCTCACACAGAGGTCCATACTGACGGGATAGCATCACACAGTTTGTCTTTTGCACATCCATGATGCGAATCACTAAGATGATCCAAGCAGGAGATGAGTACACTGTGCTCATAAAGGGATGGCCATGGTCATCAACAATACTCGTGTAAGGTGTGACATTTATACCACGCTCAGTTGGCACTAAGGGGCCCATAATGTCCCAAAGTGTCCCCTTACACCATTACACCACAACCAAAAGCTTGAACCGGTGATGCAAGGCAGTATGGATCCATCCTTTAATGTTGTTTACACCAAGTTCTGATCTGGATGTTACAGCAGAAATCCAGACTAATCAGACCGGGCTGGTCAAGCTCAAAGCAATCTAGTCCAGTTTCACTGTGTGTAAGGCAGCGTTGGTCGCTTAAAGCTGAAAACTCTAAAAACAATGAGCATCTGAAAAATGACAAGCTAATGTCAACATAATGTCAAACCTAAATGTCAACATAATGTCAAACCTAAATGAGACGATCAATTGGAATGATCTAAAACAACAAGCACATAAACGTCTGAAGATAGTCGATCCTCAAAGTCACTTAAATCACCTTTTTTCCCAATTCTGACGCTTAGTTTGAACTTCAGCGGGTCGTCTTAACTGCTGAAATACACTGAGTTATTGAAATAGCTGCGTTAATAAGCAGTTGAAAGGGTATACCTAATGAAGTGGCAGGTGAGTGTATTTTTATCTCTTATCAAAAAGCTGCCTATTTTGCCTTGAATTTAATTTGGTATTAACATAGTGTCCAAACAGTCCAATTTCAATGAGTGGGCGTACGCAGTGAATGAGCATGCAACTGATTATTTGTCTTGTCTGTGGTCTGCACCATGCTCTGCCCACTGCACTATAATAATAACCATGAACTCACTCCTTTCTCTCTAATTCATTTCCTTTTTCAATTAGAAACCTTTGCCCCCATCTCATCTACTCATCTATTCTTTAGGTACAATAGAAAACATGAATGCATCTTATTACACAGCAGAGAGAGAGACGGAGCGGACCTCTCTCCTGTCAGTAATGAATACAAGTGCAAACTGACGCCGTGTGAACTCACAGCTGTTCGGTCCGAGTGAAAGTGTTACTTTCACCAATTTAAAGTGATACGTTATTAAGACAGGACTACATTTGAAGAGGATTATTACATGGAGAATGTGTGCGTTTGCACAAAAATCTTGCATGATGTTGCTTTTAATCTTCCAACCATTAACTTTCAGCACTGCCAGAGAAGGTTGTTACATTCCTCTGTAATGGTGTTCTGTGTAATATTCATCATAACGTTTTAGACGGTAAAGTGCTCAAGCATTTTAATTATGAAGGCACATGAATAATGTTTCAGAAAGAGGCATGTTTGCTCATTCTAGAAGTTTCACAGCACAAATCTAATCTGAGGAAACAAAACAACGCCCCAGCACAGCTGCCATCTCTCTTCTTTCCCTCTTTTCATCACTGCTAAACTGAAATGAATGCAAACTTTAGCTTTAGAAAAACAAAAAAAACACAAACAGCCTTTATCAACTCATCTGAAGTGAAAGCCACCACAGGGGGTCATACCTAGTGATTTCCTCCTTGAGGGAAGCAGGATCAGGAGGGTAGAACTTAACTCTCAGACACATGGTGAACGGAGGCTGAGCTGGAGGAAACAAACAGGAAATATTTAAGACATGTGAGAGGATAACTTCAGTAATTGCCAACAATCAGCAGAAACGTGAAATCTGACAAGTGTTTTTAGAATGTCTTTGGTCAAATTAATTTATAGGTCTTTGTGTCTCTTGATCGATGCATACACTCTGTCGCTCTGCTAAAAATAACAAATCAACCAACAATTTTCCTAATATATGAATCTAACATTAACCAAAAGACTGAATTTAAAATGATTGTGTTGCGTGGAGGAAAGGACATTATTCAGCATGACTGTTGGAAAATTGATTGTCCATCAGTGTATCTATTTAATTCAATTTGATGAGTAAATTAATTAATTGGACATTTAAATCGACTAAACTCGGCATCTCAAGAGTTTGTTATCAATTCTAATCTTCCAAATTCGTTTAAAAGGACTCCTCAGTAAGAGACAGGTTGAATATACCGGTAACTGAATTTAACGTGATTTATTATTACACTGCATTCATCCATAAAAATATAACCTCTTCAACTATACAAGGCAGAAGACTTTTTGGGAGAAATATTCAGATCTGAATGCAATATTGTACAAAAAATACTGTTAGAAAGTCCTCCTTTTAACCGTTTCCACGAGGAAACTTATAACAATTATAATCTTATAATAATCTATTTTTTTTTATCCAGATGAAAGTCTTACTGAGATAATAAAAACATTGTATAGAGTAACCTGAACAAGGAAGCAGCAAAGATTTAACTATTAGAAACATAAAAATAGAAATACAACTGATACATCAGACCAAATGACTAAAATTTAAAGCACAGTTCTTCAGACTTGAACAAACTGTTTACATTCCCAGACTGACAAATAACTATTGATCTTTTTTCATTGCATTAAATTACTTAAATGACTAAGCAATTAGCTTTTTCTGTTGCTACATCAAATGTATGTCATATTGCTACATAATGTATGCGATTTTAAAAGATTTCCCAACTTAATTTCAAAGCTTCTTTAATTAATTATAAAGACACAAAAAGTAACTGAAGTACTTACATTTCATTTGCTTTGCAATTGACTTTGTGAACTCCAACCAGTGCTGCATTTGACAGAAAAACAGACAGATACAAATGTCACAAGCATCCCCTGAGAGTAATCCACACATCAGCTGTTACTGCTGATAGTTTTATGTGGGAAAACCTGCTAACACCATGTATAGTGTCACAGCGGTACAGATTGATCAGTGCGATAAGCGAATGCTGCATTGAACCTAAAGAATTTCCAGAGGTTTCTTTAATGACATCATCAAATACTTCAGGTAAATAAAATAATTATGGAAAAGTAATAGATAATGTTTCCCATTCCCTTTAATATTAAATGTTTATTCTTTATTAAAGCATTCAAAGATATATATAACTCTAATTTACTCAATAGAATAATACTTCAATTAGTTTATTCAGTCAACTGACATAATAAATTAATGACCGCAAGTTAAGCAGTTTAAACAAAGTTTACAGTTCGTGCATAAAAATGTGGCTGAGCAGGCAGAAATAGCCAGAAACATTTTAAAGCTACACTCTTGTATTCAAAAAATGAAAAAATAAATTATACCTGTAAAAGAGAATTTTTGAAAAGCAACACAAATGACACAGTTTTATTTTATTATAATTAAAATTGATCCATAATGTGGTTTCAACAATAGAAATATCTCATTTTAATACTTCATTTAAATAATAATAATCATAATAACATTTTTCAGCAGCTTTGGTAATATTCTATCCCCCCAAAAAATCAGACTTTAATTTTGTTTTGTTTATTTACATTTCTTAAATAATATGCCACATTGATGATCTTTTATTATTATTATAATCATGTTAGATTAGAAAATTAAATAAAATACACACATGACAATAATACTAATACCGCTGGCTACACTTGTGTGTTTCTAGAGTGAGATTCAGATCCTGCATTTCACTGGAATCGTATTCTGTCTCCATCTTTCTCCGGTGTTGTTTTCTCGCCAACCAAACCCACCCACAGCAACAACCACCAAAATAGCCCTGAGTGACAGCATAGGAAATGCAGCATCAGCAGAACTTGGTTCTTGTCTGAAGAGCTACAACATGATCTGTGAACATGTTAATACTTCATGAATCCAGAAGTGCAACTATATGCCTCACAGCAGAAGTGCCTGTTGGGACGGCCTTCAGTCTGAAAGGTGGCGTGAGTAAGAGACACCGAAGGAACACAGCTTTTCACTCTGGACCACAATCTCGCTCTAAATCAAAAACATTCAAATTTTAAACTGCAGGCATGCACGTCGTTTTGACACAACGCAACACAGTAATGTGTGCAAAAATTTCAACATTCAACAGCTTCTGCTTTTAAAAGTTTGGAAGCCAGAGATAAAACAAGGCAGTTTAAAAACTTAGCACTCTAGTTTCAACTCAAAGACTATATACTCTTTCACCAGAAGTAGGAACTGCCTCTCTACTTTTAAGATTAGGCTTCAAACGTTCTGTGACAATGAAGGACCCGACGACCACAGTGTTGCAGTTTTTCAGCGTCTTTTATTTTCCAGTTTTTAAAGGTCCGTCTTTCCAGCTGCACCATTTCTGTAGCACACACCACTCACCCCTCCAGTCCCAGCAACATCCTTAACAGGGTAGACCTGATTAGGTGATGAGGTCAGATGTGCGAGCCGGCCTCCCCTGACACCACACCCTGAACCCACTGCTCGACCCCTCCCCTGCAGCTGAGCCACAAACCACACCCTGCCACACTGTCCTTTTCGATAAAGCATATGGTTAGGGCAGGATCAGGTGGCCCTGAATCCTCCCTTAGTTACGCTGCAATAGGCCTTGGTTGCTGGGGGCTTCCCATGATGCACTGAGCGTTTCTTCTCCATTTACCTCTTTTCACTCACTTTGAGTTTATAAGCCACTTTGCATTTAATGATTAGTAATTATTAATCTCTGGATCTCTTCCACAGACTGTTTTGTCTCCTGTTTCCCTTCTCATCTCCGATCACTTGCTGCAGATGCTCTCTCTCTGAACCTAAAGCTACTTCCTGTTAAAAGAGAGTTTCTCCGTCCCACTGTCGCTCACTATCACCAAGTGCTTGCACAGTTGTCTGAGTGTTGGGGTTTTCTGTCAAATTATTGCAAGGTTTTCACCTTACAATATAAATTCCCCTGAGGCTATATAAATAAAATTGAATAAAATTGAAAATTATCTAAAATACCAACGGAGGAATTTTCTGAGGAGCTGAAAATTTCCTTTCTTACTAACAATTTCAATTTAACAATAACTAACGCAAACACGTTAATGTATATGTCATAACATACGTTAATACCATTTCACTGATACTACTAAGGTCAGATCATCTTCCAAACCCCTTATTGTCCCCTGATCATTTTATTTATGTGCAAAAAAAGTAGGAATGCAAAAGTTTTCAACATCAATACAGCTTTCTTAGCAACAGACTAACGTGTGACTCAGATGAAGTGAGTTTCATGTCACACAAACAAACTACCATTTATAGAAAACGTTTTAAATATTTGAGGTTTATGATTCCAGTAAATTAAATAATTTTTAACATCTCAACTTTAACTGGTTCTCTATTTCCCTCTCTAGTAAAACAATGGGCCCATTAGGCATTAGCTGAACTTTCTATCAAGACGCAAAGCTCGTGCAAAGACATGAGACTAATTAAAGATAATCTCATCTGACCCCCAGGAAGAAACAGATGCCTTTTGCGTTAATGATATTGTGTATTTCAAGGATGAGCATTTCTTTCTCTCAGACTAGATTTTCATTTTGTGAAAAGTACCTTACTAAGAAAACCATAAATGAAATGCACATTAGTATAAACACAAAAAAACACTTACCCGCTGCTTGTCTGGATCCACATATCTGATGCCAAAATAGTCTTTTTCCAGTAAGTTGAGGTGATGGCAGATGAGGTCAAACAGATATTGTCCCTTTGCATCCCGCTGCAATAGAAGAGCAGAAAAACTGAAATTCAAAAGCAGCAAATCACATGTTTGAACACATGGCCCAAAAAAATTTCGGCCAGGAGGGGTTAGGCTTTTAAATTGGGAATTTTTTCTTGTTGGAGGATTGTTTCGTTCCTTCCGGCGGTTTTTTTTTGGTTTCTTTTATTTTTATTCGGAGGCCGGGGCCTTTTGAGTTTTTTGGATTAACCCCCTTCTCCCGGTTTAAAAGGGGAAGGGTTTAAAGTTGTTGGGGCTTTTTTGGGTTTTGTTTTTTTTTTTTAGTCTCACAAGGAAGCTTCCCTCAGAGCAACGGTTCTCAAACTGTGCAGCAGGGCCCACTGGTGGGGCATAGAGCCACTACAGGTGGGACGCTGAAGACCAGGGGGAAAATACGGAGTGAACAGTGAATAAATATGATGATTGGGGGACTTTCTTTCTGAACACGCTGTTTGGAAAGCTCACAAATGAAGACAGAAGCAAAAGAACAAACTGAGAGTTTCTCAGTATGGTTGTTTAGCACTGGAAGTGTTTTACACAACTGCAGACACCTGCAGATTTAATTTGCCAATACATTAAAAGTGATTATTACAACTGTGTGCATCGCTACAGAAAGCCAGGCAGGGTAATAATTGAGAGCGTGGGTGACATACGGTACAATTTCATGGCATATTTTGTGGGAAATACAGAAGAACTGAGCAGCTAAACTCAAATAACCTCAAATAGCAGAGTTGAAATTTTAAGCATATTCAAAATCCTTAAATGGCAGGATTTTGGCAGGAGGTCAAGTACATTTAAAAAGTTTTAATTAAGAATGTGAAACTGAGCTGTCTACGACACTTCAGTGTCTCGGCATCTGTGGTATTAACGCGTTACATCAGAGCATACGCCTGGTAAATGTGACGAGGTTAAAAGGGATTAATCAATATCGGGAAGAAAGCATCATTAATCATAAGGCTACTCCAGTGCTGTCACTGCTCAACAACTACCACCCTGACTGGGAAACATGAGGCCAGAGTACAAGATCACAGGGTTGACTTAAAGTGGAACTTTTGCAAGCCTAAACCTCAAGTCCAGGAAGGTATAAAACAAACCAAGTCAGTCTTTCTTTGACTTAGCGCTTCCACTACACCTAAACCTCTAGTTGGAGATAACGGGTATAATGATGGTGGTTATTTAATTTCTCTCTCCTTCAGGCTCTGTGCGCACTCGTATATAAATGGGCATTTTATACATCATATCACTCTTTGATGTATGACCCCTTTGAGCTCCGCCTACTCCAATCAAAGAGCTTACCAGATGACGATGATAAAATCTAAATTTAAAAAAAAAAAAAAGTCTAAAGAACATATAATAATCCTGGAAATTAACGTTTCAGTGAATTCTTTTACTGCTCAGTGCGCACACAGTGCTGCTGCTTAATGCTAAGGTGATGGCTGCACACTAGAGTTCTTAACTTTTAAATTGGATACATTTAAACGCTGCTGTACCACAGCCTCATAAAGCAGATGTGGAAGTAACTTTAGGTTGTCTGCAGATCGGAGCGAAATTTCATTAATTGAACGGGTATTCTTGGTGTGTGTTCTGTGTTCTTGTAGCTGTAGTTCCAGCAGTATAAAACATATTCCAGCACAGAATCTTTAAAACATGCTGTAAATAAAG